CTGGTGAGCGGAAGAATATTAGCCCTCATTGGGACTAATGTGAAGTTTTTATTACAGTGTTACGATTAGTAAAAATTTGTGTTTCAAATAAGCTTTCGGTTTCTAGTGTTTAAACTTTAAAGCTATATATATATATATATATACTAGCTGGCCAGGCAGACGTTGTTCTGCCCTTTCCGAAGACCCTTTCTGTAAAAAAATAAATAAATTCGCAATGACAAAATATTGAGGCTCACTTATCGGGTAAAAACTATCCTATCTCTCAAGTTGGACCAAACTGCACACAGTATAAAAAATACTTTGAAATCAGTTAGTAGTTTAAGAGTTCATCGCGGACAAACAATGTGACATGTAATTTTTATATATTGGTACGAGCTTGGGGTTCGAGACAATTAAAAACTGCGAGTGAATTACCAAAATTTACACTTTATTTACAGAACACTAATTACAATTAATAACCACACTAATAACAAAACAATTGTACTACAGATCACTTTAATTCGTAGTTGTATCGCTTCGAAGTATTCTCTTATATCGCCAATTCAATACTCACTCGGTCATGGTCTATACCGGCCTTATATAGGGCCTCAGATAGTTTCCGGAACCTTTTACTGTAGCGACATCTAGAATGTTCGAGTACATATCGGTCCCGAAATTTCTATAAGGATCTTGACTCTCCTAGTTCTGCTACTCGACACTAGAGGGTGCTGGTGGTAACAATATAAAGCATAGCTGGCCAGGCAGACGTTGTTCTGCCCTTTCCAACGACCCTTCCCATAAAAAAATCCTTAAATTCGCAATAAAAAATATTGAGGGTCACTTATAGGGATAAAAACTATCCTGTCTCAAGTTGGACCTAACTGCACACAGTGTGCAAAATTTCATTGCAATCAGTTTAGTAGTTAAGGACTTCATCGCGGACAAACAATGTGACACGTAATTTTTATATATAAAGATTATACACACAAAACAATGCCTCAGTGGTTGTTCTTTAATTTATTGCACATTTTTAAATCTCTTTTTTTATAGAACACGGGTGACTAATGAGCACACAGTCCACCTGATGGCAAGTAAACGTTGTGGCCTATAGACATCTACATTTATCCTCAATTGAGAATCAAAATGCAGATGCGTTGTCACTCGTGAGGACTAAGATGGAATGCCTCGTTTCCAGAAAAGTGGGGTCTCCGGTTCTCTACACTCACCATACGAAACACAGCATCATTAAGCAGCTATTTTAAGCTGGTATTCTGTGAGAGCGTGGTCCTTCCCCGGTCGAGCCGACCCGTTCGTACTGCAATCACAATATAGCTGCAGCATAGCTTTACCACGCTCTCTCTTTTTAATTCTTCTACTTTTAGGAATTTTTATAGTTTCCTTAATCCATCTCAATCTAATTAATATAAATTATAACTCATATTTTAGAACGATAAAAAAACTTTTATATTTTTCTAACAATTTTAGTTTTTTCTCTCCATTAATGGCCAAATACTCAAGTACTACTCAATTTTAAGATGTCGTAAGTCTCCTGTTGTCGCAGTCACTTTGACTTAAAGTGAAAGAGACAGCACGATATTTGACGGCGTCTTAAAATATAGTAGCGTTGGAGTATTAGTGCCGATTTACAATTGGCACAAAACTGTCAAATGTATTCCACAGTGGCGCCGCCCTGGTGTCAGAAAAAGTTGTGGGCACCCACTCTTTTTTATCATTGATATATAATCACCACCCTTGACAGGCACAAGCGTGACGATTCAAGTCCTCATTGCAACAGAAAAATCTTGTCTGACTTTAATGACTTGATAAAGAAAAAACGTTTAAATAATTGTATAATTATTTATATTTAAAATTAAATTTAAATTAAAATATTTAATACAATAGTATTAATACAATCTATACACAATAATATCTTATCCATACTACCTTTTTACAAATAATAAATAATAAAATTTGTACGAATTTTCGAATTTGTTGTTGCTTTTAAGGTCTATCTACACTTAACGAAATATTTTTAAAATAAACAGCACACATTTTTTTTAAGAAAAAATTAAATAAAATAAAAAATTCTATCGTGCTGCTCAAGCTGTTACACGTTCAAGTATTGCTAATTAAAAGAGTAGAAATTTGATTTTTTTCTTACAATCTGTCTTAAACGCAATCCCGCCAAGTGTGTATAGACCCTAATTAATAATTTCGTTCTTCATCTTTATTGCACATACAGTTTGCACCAAGTAAGTTCTTACACGTTATTTACGGTACTATAAAAATTATATGATAAAGTAGTTGAAGGGAGTATTAAAAAAGGGGGCAAATAATTAATAATAATCACCCTATCTCGTCCCGTGGGGGTAGTTAAAGATTTACAACTTGAAGATGAAAATACTCTGACTGGAAACAGAATCAAAGATTTGGATCTAAGATATGTTCTGGATCGCAAATGGACAAAGCGAGACGTAAAATTAAAATTAAATAAATAGGTTACAAGTGGTAAAATTAATAATTTTGTACAACCGACTTCAATATAAATAAAATGAGTACCAAATACACAATCAGTGACAAAAATGTCCTTACCGAATGAGCGCCCACTCGAACATTTGGGTGCGCTTTTAATTTGTACGTAGTTTTGCGAATACAACTTTAGACAATGCATTTAAGGTTGAATTTACATTAATGTATATTTATTTCAACTAGAATTACGTCAAAACAATTGGCGACAGTTTTTAGAAAACTTTCTCATGGGATTGTGTATCTAGTTTTTTTATTAGTGATCGATGTGAGAACATCATCAATGTAGTCGAAGTTATTCGTTCGTCGCATTATTAGGGATAACTCAAAAACTACTTGTCCAATTTTAATCAAATTTATATGGAACCACATGAGAAGCATCAGCTTTGAAATAAATAAAGAACCATACAAATCGGTTCACCTAGAAAAAAGTTCTGTCCTTTTTTTGAAGTCGGTTGAAAATTTACACAAAATTAGACCATATTAGACTGAATAACTCCATTCTATTTTCTCCTTTGCCACTATTTCTTATAATATAATAAAATATTTTTTATTTAATACAGGTTGTTACAAAATACAAGTTGAAAGTATTTTTTTTTTATTTACAACTGGTCCGTTAAATACTTTTGCCCTGGGAAGAACCAGCAAGAAACCCATCCGGATATTTTCTGACATATATAATTTTATATCAATCTCGCACAATTATTTATATGAATTATAATAAACGCATGGTAGCGATCACCTCATTCCAAGGTATTCCATATTATAATTATCCTGTATATATACAGTTTCGTTTAATAAACATTTTTAAACTTGTTTATTTAATAAACATTGAGCACATTTCGACATCTTGTTAAATAATATAAAATTTTGTACAACCGACTTCAATATAAATTATTAATAGCTCAAAAACTATTGGTCAGACCTTGATCAAATTTATGTATGGGACCACATGAAGCACCAGCTTTCAAATAAAAAAAGAATTATCGAAATCGGTTCACTCAGAAAAAAGTTAACACACATAAGAAAACATACAATCGTATTCAGTATCTCATCCTTTTAAAAGTCGGTAGAAAAGAGTATACATTGCCCCATAAATTAAAAACTAATATCTTTATATATATAATTCTTTAGTCCGTGTGCATGCGACTGACCAATAGTTTTCGAGTTATCCTTAATAATGCGTATTAATATTGAAGTCGGTTGTACAAAATTTTTAATTACATTAGTTGTCTCTCTTCGTCTCTTTTTAAAAAACGTTACCTCCACACTAAGATTGTTTCCTGTATCGCAGGGAGAGTTTACATACATAGAACAGATCTAGAACAATTATTTGTAGGCCATACAAATACTTGTTCCGTCCGGGATTCGAACCCGCGGCCTTTAGCGCTGCAACTCTTTACTAAGCCACTGCGACACGGAGCCGTCAATTGTCTGTTCCACTTTTTTTTTTCTATTTACAAACATGCGAAAGAGTGGCAAAGAGAAGTGCTGCTATTTTCAATATTTTTCTTTTATCGACCATGGGTTAAAGTACCAACCGGTATATGCTGATCTTGCATTAGTAGGCAGCCACTAATAATGGGAGGTCTACTTACACTGAACTTTTTTTAAGGTCATTGGCATTATACGCGCAAACATCGAAAACTGCGAAGCTGTTGTCGGGTCGCTAATCAAATAATAAATCTGTAACTATGGAGTCAGTAACTATGTACCTAATTATCTAGATCTACCTATAAATAATAATATATTACCATTCGGTATCCTTAGCAACAGTAAAGAATGAAAGTCGACATTCCTATTGTTATTTAAGCACCTGCATACTATGCAGTATATTTTGAGAGGCCATACTTCAATAAAAACTCAAAAATAAAAGTGGCTAAATACTTATAAGAGATAAATACTTTTTTGTTAACGTAAAGCGCGCTTCAGCTCGAGCGTGCGAGTGAACCTCACGGAATTAGCCCCGTGTTTATTAGCGGGGCCGCGCAGGGTAGGTATATTTTCATGCCTAAAGCGCGGAGTGCGACAGGCCTGGTTAAAACTTTCTCAACCCATTGCTAGCACTTGCGCGAAGTTTATAGGCATAGTACAATTAACTTACAGTAGGTGGCGCGCGTATCGTACCGACAAATTTATTTGAAAGTTGTATATCGTTCCATTTCAATGAATATATTATCATTTAAAATTAAACAATATAACTCTTCCAAATTTAAAAAGATATTTCCACAATTATATCTTCTGCGGAAGCAACAGCTAGTAATTAATATAAATACCTTTAATTAAGTTAACATTATAGCCCTTCAAGGTCTATTGCAATACATAAGCCTCCACCATAGATTATAGATAAGTTGCCAACCGTAGTTTTTAATTTTTTAGTTGATATTAGACGCTGCTGCCCATCTCCTGGTTCATTCCCCTCTATCGCTACTTACGGCACCCACGGGACGACGGGTAGTGGATATTATAACATCGCCACGAATTTCACAGATCTATTAGTCTCCAGGTGTTGACGGAACTAAGCGACATATGACAACAGAGTTAAGGGGACGTTCCGTACAAGGTACAGGAGGATCGATCACCGGCTGCACTATTCTGTCGTCCAAATCAAACTTCCTCTCGTGGACCTTAAGATGACCCTTTAAAGTGCATTTTTGAGTGAACGCCCTCCCACAAACAGGGCAGACGAAACGTTTGTCATTGTTATGGATGCGCATATGCTCCTTCAATGTTTTTAATCGCTGATATGACTTCTGGCAGATGTGACAGGTATGTATCCTCTCGCCATCATGTTTTATCATATGCATTTTCAGAGCGTTCTTAGTATAGAATGCAAGGTCACATTTATCACACTTATGGTTCCGCTCGTTCAAGTGGTCTCTACGGACGTGGCTCGACAAATGACCCGGTGTTATGTAGCTCTGTGTGCAGGCTTTGCATTTATATCTCTTTAGTTCTTCGTTGTGCACCTCTGCTAAATGTTTCTGACGGGTGTAGAAGGAGGACAGAGATATGTTGCATCTCTTGCAAGCGTACCGGAGGCCCGATTTGTGTTCTTTCGAGACGTGGTTCTCTCTCTTCGTGGCTTTATCGAATACCGCGTCGCAGTATCGACAAGGGAAGTCCCCGAACTCGTGAGTCCTCATGTGACCTCTCAGTCTCGCTTTGGAAGCAAAACTCTTACCACAGTTCTCGCAGGTGTAATTAGGGTAATGCACGTTCATATGGGTGTTTAAATTGACGAAGTTCAGAAATTTCTTTTTGCAAATCGGACAGTCCACTTGGTCCTTCTCCAGCTTGAAGGGCAGCTTGTTCCACCTTGAATTAAGACGTACGCAACTCTCTATGTGCTGCCTTAACTCTTCGTAGTCCGAGAGGTCCGTCTTGCACAGTTTACATCTCAACTTACTCGAGGCCTTGTAAAACCTTTGCAGTTTGGAGGCGCTGATCTTTTTAAAAGCTATGTGCAAATTTGATAAACTGTGATCTGATACGTGTGATTTTATATCGTCAAGGTTTGTCGATTTCACGGTACATATTACGCAGGAATAGGTCCTGTCTTTGTATATTTTAAACGGGAACAGCCCGACTTTCAGCATCTTCTCTGTTTCCGAAGTGTCTGCGTTCTTCTTTACGGAGTAGGAGACTTTCTTTTTGTTAGTTAAGGTTTTCCTTTTTGTTCTCTTCGGGTGGTACGCCTTTAAATCTTCTTCCTTTATGATCATGGTGGCATCTGGAATGGAACAAATATCATTAGATTGGTAGAACTACGCTGCAGCTATTCTAGCCCTACATGACTGCAAAACGAATGGGCGGACTCGACCGGGATAGAATCACGCTCTTAGAGAATACCAGCGTAAAATAGCAGCTTAACACTGCTGTGTTTCGTATGGTGAGTGTAGAGAACCGGAGACCCTTTTTACTGGAAACGAGGTATTCCATCTTAGTCCTCAGGAGTGATAACGCATCTGTATTTTGATTCTTTATCGATGATAGACGTAGATGTCTATGGGCCTCAGCATCCATTTAGCATCAGGTGGACTGTGTGTAATTTGCGTTTTTTATTCTGTTTTATCGCCACGATGTCGGTACCGCGTCGTTGAATGTAAAGTTCGATTAAGTATCAAAATGCAGATGTGTTGTCACCCCCGAAGACTAAGGTGGAATGTTTCGTTTCCAGTAAAAAAGGTCTCCGGTTCTCTACACTCACCATACGAAACACAGCAGCATTGCATACGAAAAACAACAGCTTCTGTGAGAGCGTGGTCCTACCCCGTTCGAGCCGACCCATCCATACCCACACCCATAATAAAGTATATCCAGTGTGTGCAGGAATTACATGATTTATTCCGCCCCCCCCCCCTCTCCTCCCATTCTCATCAGATAACCAGACGACGGTCAACGAGTCCCTTTGTTGTCGATATTCCGCGCATTCGCACCAAACGGTTTCCTTCGTCTTTACTAATGCATACATCAAGGGAGTGAAATAATTTGCCGGCGTCTTATTCCCAAACTGCCCCAGAAGAAAGGTAAAGATTTTCGAGAGTATTTTTGTATGTATGTTTATCTATTTCTTTGGCACGCTCTGTACCCTTAACGGTTTGATGGACTTTAACTTAAGAGGTGTCGTTTCCGTCACCGTTACGCCTATTAAAGTCTCACTGCTGAACATGGGCCTCCCCCATACACTGCCTCGTAGGGAATATTTGCCATAGTTGTAATGTTACTGTTGATTTGAAAATTTCACCTCTCAATGGGTCATGTGCTCCTGGTAGATTATCTTCTATACATCCATCTATCACAGCCTATTAAACTGCTGAACACAGGCCTCCCCCATAGCTTTCCTCATAGGGAGGATATTTGCCATAGTTGCGAGTCGGTAACCGCAGTTTTTTTTAATTTTAGTCGACGCTGCTGCCCATCTCCTGATTTTTTCCCTCTGTCGCCTCTTACGACCAGCAGCTTGCAGTGACCTACGGGATGATATGGCGTTTTTGGATATTCTTACAACGCCACGACGAGGTCTTAACTGTAGGAATGTGACACATGCTATATAATGTTTATATATAAATAAAAAATAAGCGAGGGGAAGGTGTTTTTTACGCAGTCGGGTTTTTTAAATTACTGTTTTAAACATTTTGCCTGTCGTTCGATTACAATCTGGGCGTCAGCAATACCAGTGTATGTAGGCTTTTGTTACGCTGAGACAGTGCGATTTACCATCTAGGGTTACATCACCACTTACCAACAGGTGGGGTTTGTGGTCGAGCTTAAATGAGAAAAAAAATCAGCAGTGAACATTATGAAGGAGAATGTTTGTCTATGAGCAATTTATGTTTGTAAAACGCCTCTATGGTATAAAGTTACTGCCTATATACGTCCGACTGCTAAGCACAGGCCTCCCCTCGTTTCTGAGAGGGTTTTAGGGCGAGAAAATTGTGTTGGCGTGTGCCAATGCGTGTTGGCGAACTTCAAATGTCTTCGAAATATAATATTCTTTTCTTCTTTCTCAAACATGCTGGTGGTTTGTTTCTCTCCATGTTTACCTTCACCGGCGAGCACGTGGTAAATCAGCACTTAAAATTGTAATTAACAATTTCATTGGCGCAGGCGGCGATCGAAACCGGGTTGCTAGCATACTGCGAAATACTCTATGGTAAATGTGAAATTATTAGACCGTGGTTACGGTTTTTTTTTTCAAATTGTATGCAGTTCGCCTCCCCCTGAGACGTTTATTAAATGATACCTGTGATACATGATACCTGTAATAAGTAATATCTGTGATAAATAATATCAGTGATAAATAATACCTGTGACATCCTGTGCCAAATCCAGATACTCCTGCTTGACCCCATACACTGCGCCCTCTATTGCACCTGCGATATTTAACACACCTTTATTATTTAAAATAATTATAACTTTTAACAAAAAGTTAAAACCGACTTCAAATTGCTAAAGAGTAACTTATTTATTTGCTACCCTTAGGGGTGAAATTTTTTTTCTCCAAATTTATATGGGATCACCCTTGTAGTATAAACTACTTAATAAAAAAAGAATTATCAAAATTGGCGTAAAACAATTTTACATACACTGGATTTGAGAACCTCCTCCTTTTTTAAGTCAGTTAAAAATACAATAAAAGAATTTTGACATTATAGCTTCTGCAGTCGAAAATAATACATTATATTTTTTTTTTTTTATAGAAATAGGGTGACAAACGAGCACACAGTCCACCTGATGGTAAGTGGTTGCTGCGGCCCATAGACATCTACATCTATCTTCTGTTACAAATCAAAATGCAGATGCGTTGTCAGCCTTGAGGACTAAGATGGAATGCCTCTTTTCTAGTAAAAAGGGTCTCCGGTTCTCTACACTCACCATACGAAACACAGCAGCATTAAGCTGCTATTTTACGCTGGTATTCTGTGAGAGCGTGGTCCTTCCCCGGTCGAGCCGACCCATTCGTGCTACAACTATACTACTAATATAGCTGCAGCTTGGCTCTACCACGTACAAAAAATTTCGACTGTAGAAGGAATTAAAGCCAGTTATTATGTGCATTTCCTTCGATTTGCCGACGATATAGTTATGGCAGAATCGCTGGAGGACCTAAGCACTATGCTCAATGACCTGAATAGTGTCTCCCAACGGATAGGTCTTAAGATGAACATGGACAAAATAAAAATCATGTTTAATGTCCATGTCACACCTATGCCGGTAGTTGTTGGGAGCACTAAGCTCGAAGTTGTTGACGAGTAGTCCGGGACCTGGGACAAATAGTCCGACTAGGTAAGTCCAACTTCGACCGAGAGGTCAATCGACGGATTCAACTCGGCTGGGCAGCGTTCGGGAAGCTACGACACATCTTCTCGTCAGACATACCTCAAAACATTAAAACGAAATTGTACAACCAGTGCGTGTTGCCAGTGATGACTTACGAATCTGAGACGTGGTCCTTCACTGCTAGCCGTATGAGGAAGCTCAAGGTCGCTCAGCGAGCTACGGAGAAGGCTATGCTCGGGGTTAGTCTGCGTGATAAACTTAGAAATGAGGATATCCGCAGTAGAACCAGGGTAACCGACATAGCCCAACGGATTAGTAAGCTGAAGTGGCAATGGGCCGGCCATATAGCTCGAAGAACCGACAACCGATGGGGAAGAAAGGTTCTCGAGTGGCAGCCTCGTACCGGTAGGCGAAGTGTAGGACGACCCCCCTCGAGATGGAGTGACGACCTGGTAAGGCATGCAGGAAGTCGATGGATACAGGTGGCTCAGGACCATGCTTTGTGGCATTCCTTGGGGGAGGCCTATGTTCAGCAGTGGACTTATGAAAGGCTGTAATGATGATGATTATGTGCATATTATTTAATTACATTTTTTGTATTTGAAGACAGTTTTAATTTTTGGAACGAAGTTCCTTATCGGACGGTACGAATTTGGCGAATGGCCCCACCCATATATAATGGCTAGGCGAGAAAAAGTGTAAGATTTTTCCGTCACGACCCACTTTCTATAGTGCGAGGGAGATGGAATAATATCCATTTCCCTCGCACTTTTTCTTATCTTGCCATGAAAAAATATTTTATTTTAAATGACGCTTCATTTTAATAGACGCTAGTAATTCATTTATTTGTATTTGTTAATCAATAATACTTTTATCAATAATATACTACGAAAGGAACTTCGTTCCAACCGAGTGTTACACGACACTCACGCATGCTTTTTAAAATTATTTGAACCTTTTCAGTGGACTAACGAATATCACAAGTTCAAAACTGCAACTAGAACGTCATCTAAATAGTCACATTAAAAACATTTAAACACGTAACACATCAAATCTATTTTCCCAAATATATTTTCTCTGTCGGCGCGTCTTCGAGTTCGGTTGCGGTCACTTTAGCGGAGCGTCATATCTATGGTGGCGAGGTAGAATTGAGGGTAGATCGGGAAACCCCCACGCTTCTGTGTAGTATAAAGATCTCTGTAGAGGCCGTGCGAAAAAGATTCCTTCGTAGTCCTTCTAGGTAGTAAAAGTGCGAAGATAATATCGTGGTTCTGTCAGTTGTGGTGGTTGTTCTGGTGGAGGCAAGGAAGATGATGTTGCCGAGAGGCTGCCCTGTGTTACATTGAGATGGGTAGTATTGTTGTTAATGCATACTTTGGTGCTATCATGTAACTCAAAATTTATTATAAAAAAAAAGTAAAATAAAATTGAGTTATTTCAGACTTTTGTCCAAAATATTGTTAGTAGCATAAAAAAGAGATCTTAAAAACTAGGTTGGTAATATTTTTTTGGAAAATATTTATTCTAATTTATATATCTGCCTGCACTGCGCGTCACCCCTGCAACGTGTGTGAGCGTACACCCATTGCCGCAGTATCGGGCAGTCAGGCTTTTCAGTGATTACTCTGAGAACGGTGTTGGCGCTCCCCCGCACCGTGCGCAGGGGGGATGCGATTCGCTTGCGGTGTGAAACCCATCAATGTGCGCCAATGCAAACACCCCTGGTGCACTACAGTAACTTGGAAGCCTCAACAACATTCTCAGACCATTATTATATTGTACTCGGAGAGCGTTGATACCCCCCGCGGGTAGTTGACCCATAGATTACACATATAAAGTGTTTGGCAGTATGTTTTAAACAGTGTTATTTTCACATCTGGACTGCTACGTGCAAATCTGCGAGCCAACATGTTGCAGCGGACTGCCATCGCCCTCCTTTCCCTATCAATATCCTTGTCATCCTTCAAGTCCTCGGTAACCGTGTGACCGAGATAATGTGTCCAAGATGTGAAAGTCCAAAGTTCAATTCAGCTCCATGTTTGGAGTAATAAAAAAAGAAATAAGTTTTTATTTAAAATAGATTAAAAATAATACATATTGAAAAGTCAATTCTTATGTTTAACTAGCGATCGCCCCGGCTTCGCACGTGTGATTTCTGCATCTCGTCAACAGCGCCACCTATCGGGCCCAGTTGTGAATCTAAACGGTTCTCGAATCAACTTAATCACACACAAAATTTCATCAAATACGGTCCAGACTTTTAGGAGGAGTTCAGTCACATACACACGGGAAGAAGAATTATATAATATGCATGTATTATACACATAAATCTTACTCTTGAATCATTCTGTCTATTGATGAAAACCGCATCAAAATCCGTTGCGTAGTTTAAAAGATTTAAGCGTACAGACGGCGGGAAGCGACTTTGTTTTATACTGTGAAGAGAATTACCACTGGTTTGGGAACTTAACCTCCATCCTGGGAAGAAGCCCATTGTAACACGTGACTGTTCCTAGCATTGAGTTATATGTACTAAAAGTCAACCGTTTTTCAGATTTTTTATAAAGTTATTTTACTAACTATTTACTCACCCATGTGATCATCGTCAGAGTCGATTCCGCAACTGTCTCGTATCAGATCCTCAATTGCCAACTCTTTCTTCACATTCTTGGGTGACAGCTCGCTTCGTTCTGTCATTGGAATAAGTTGTTTTTTTGTTTTATAGGATAAGGATGACAAACGAGCACACAGTCCACCTGATGGTAAGTGGTTGCTGTGGTCCATAGAAATCTACATCTATCATCGATTACGAATCAAAATGCAAATACGTTGTCACCAGTTTCCAGTAAAAAGGGGTCTTCGGTTCTCTACACTCACCATACGAAACACAGCAGCATTGAGCTGCCATTTTACGCTGGAATTCTGTGAGAGCGTGGTCCTTCCCTGGTCGAGCCGACCCGTTACAACTAATATAGCTGCAGCATGGCTCTACCACGTATAAAATTTACCATCAGGTGGACTGTGTGCTCGTGTGTCAACATTATTCTATAAAATTAAAGAAAGTATATCTTTAAAATTAATACTTTAAGTAAACTCTTTACTCACCCATGTGATCATCGTCAGAGTCGATTCCGCAACTGTCCCGTATCAGATCCTCAATTGCCAACTCTTTCTTCACATACTTGGGTGACAGCTCGCTTTGTCCTGTCATGGAATAAGTTGTTTACTTGAAACATTGTCTATTATAATTGTAGTAGGCAGTAAGAGATTTTACCACCTTTTTACACAAACACACTTTTTCTGTTTATCATTTAATGCTACGGCCACACTACCATAAATAGCAGTAATTATGGCCATAATTGAAATATCACATAGGTGTAGCCACGATTTATGGCCATAATTCTATAGAAACAGAAACTTTTTTATTCAATACAGATTATAAATAATACTTATTGAAAGTCACTCTTTTGTTTAATACTTGTCTTTTGTTTTGTTTGGTTCGAAAAAAAAGCCTCTGTCCCTGCAAGAACCAGCAAGATACCCAGCGGGACTCTTTTTTTTAACTAGCAGCTTACAATCATGACACAATTAACCACACAAAACAAATTAGAAATAGCTTGGTAGCGATCACCTCATTCCCAGGGGTTATTATCATCCATAAATTCCTTAATATTATAATAACCCCTTTTATACAAACTTTAAACTTCGTTAAACTTATTTTTGTTCCAACTATCATTAAAATAGGCAAATTATAAACACTGCTTTTGTTTTAGAATGATATGCTCTGCTATAATTGGTAGTACGTAGTAATTTGTAGATGTATTTTTTTTTAAACTTTACCCCCACACTAGGATTTTCTCCTGTGTTGTGGAGGCAGTTTACAAACATAAATTGCACAAGGACAAACATCCAGACCCGGAACAATTATTTGTAGGCCATACAAATACTTGTTCCGTGCGGGATTCGAACCCGCGGCCCCCAGCGCAGCAACTGATTGCTAAGCCACTGCGCCACGGAGCCGTACACAAGTAAGGCATGTGTTAGAAGTAATTTAATATGTACCACTGTTGGAGATCCACACAAATAAATAAATAGTTTGAGCAGGTCAAATTTTGTATTATCAATGTCACAATCAATATGGCATATGATGGTAGGCAATATCTCCGATGGCGGTCGTTTTCGTATATCAAAGACAATTACCGTGGTAATTTTTGCTTGAAGTGGCCACACTACAGTTTGTTCAGTGTGCGACACGAGTTCAACGGAAACGAACGGCTTTCTGTGCATTTTTATCATCTACCAGCTTCTTTCAAGTCTTTGTTTAGCTTGGTAGAAATTTAAAAAAATCCATGTAATAGTAACTGACACTCATAAAGTACAACACCGCCGCAGCTTCAACACCTTTTCCGCCTAGTTCATTGTGGTATCTAAGTAAACTTTAAGGTAACCACACAACTTCACGCGGTAATTTAGGCAGTAATTTAATGTCATAACTATTGCGGTAAATGGTCGGTAGACTGTATCGTAACTTACATTTTGTTAGAAATGAGGGTAGGAAACAAAAGAAAGCGCGAAAAAGCGAGGGTATAATGCAAATCAATTAAGAATAGGAACGTCACGAACTCAATCTGTCAACTGTCACTTGAAAAGTACGGCTTGCAATGAAAATTTATTTGCATATTAAAACGTTTTCTTCCCCACTTTATTTAAAAGAGTCTTAGTATTACCAAATCTATTGATATGACTCATAAGTCGTTTTAAAAATAATTAATGCAGTTTTTTTTTTCAATAACATCAGTCTAATATTAAAAAAAAGCCTACATAAATCCATGTTGTATTTCTATACAGGAAACTCATTCTACAAGTCTTAACGTCTCAATCTTCTCATTAAAAGTGTGATTCAGCCTGTTGTGATAATCTTTTACGTGGTAATTCTATCTCAGTCCTCACGGGTGACGACGCATCTGCATTTTGATTCTTTATTGAAGATAAATGTAGATGTCTATGGGTCACAGCAACCACTTACCATCAGGGTGGACTGCGTGCTCGTTTGTCACCCTATATGCTATAAAAAAATGACCCTACCGAGCAACCTTGAACTTCCTTGTATGACCAGCAGTGAAGGACCACAAATATTATATCTTTGTTTACACAATCATCATCATCATGACAGTCTATCAATAGTCTACTGCCAAACATAGCCTTCGCCACAAATTGACTCATAGGTGAGATATTTGTCACAGATGCCACATTTGGCAGGCTAGTTGGTAGCTGCGGTTCTTTATTTTCAGTCATGTTGTTCAGAAGTAATATGACCACTAACACAACACACAAACATTTATATAAAGGTAATATTACACCAAAACCAACCTTATTATTCATGATTTTTAGATTTACATTGCTTTTACGTCAAGGTTATTTTAATTTGTATATATTTATTTTTTATAATATTGTGGATCATTGATAATAGAAATAATTTTTATAATTAAAACTTACGTTGCAGTTTAAAAGTTGCTTCCAAAGTCTTTAAAGATGTCTCCACCTTCTCCCTGAATTGGATTGCATCTCTCAATTTGTCAATACAGGCATTGCATATAAGACGTTTTGTGTCCTCCAAGTCCACTGTAAGCACCTGCCGATGTGATTATACTGTGTGATGAGTGGATGCTTAATTTTTCAAATAAAAAACTGGCCAAGCGCAAGTCGGGTCACGCACAATGTAGAGGTACGGTTCCATAGTTATCCGTCACAATACATGGACATTATTGATAATGAGCATAGTAAGTAAGTTTGTGGTTTGACCACTAGAACAACTAAAAATGGGCCCAAATGGGAAGATTGTAACTGAAGGACTTATTTTCAAATCAGGCTTAGTTGTATTCAAATTAGATTAAAAACACTTGTCGATTTTGATAATAATACCCTATCTATCTCACAAATGAAAAAGTAAAGCTAATATTAGTAGTGCATGTAAGTCGTTTTCTTCATAAAATGTTCATTTTAACAGTTTACATTTTACAATAACATTACAAAGTTATAATGCAGCTAGTTTTAGGTCATTTTCTATGGAGTTGTAACAAAATGTTTACTAATCCAAGTATATTTTATAAGTTGATAGACTATTAGTTGTTAACCTCTGAACTCTACTTAGCTGTGATAGTTTTCCTTTTAACTTCATTATATATATTACTACTGTATATACAGCGGTTTAGTTGGTAGCGGGGGGACACATAACTAATGAAAAATATCACTCTAAAGCTTAATATTTCGCAAACGAACCGCTGAATCAAAAAGACATTCATTGTTCCACACCTCCAATGTTTTTGCAAGACCTATCCAACGATTTACTGGTATGGGAAGTACCAAAAATAAAAATGCTATTAAAGATTTTATTTCACAGTTTTCTAGGATGTGTGATTAATATCTATAACTATGCCAAATTACAGATTTGTATCACCTAGGGTATCTGAGCAAAAATGGGGACGGACGGACATGGCGATACTATAAGGGTTCCTTGTTGTGTAAATATAGAATCTTAAAAAATGACAAACAAGCACACATTCCACCTAATAGTAAGCAGATGCTGTGACCCATAGAAACCTTTTTTTTTTGTTACAGAAAGAGGGTGACAAATGAGTACACACTCCACCTGATGGTAAATGAATGTTGTGGCCCATAGACATCTACATCTATCCTCGATTAAGAATCAAAATGCAGATGGATTGTCACCCCTGAGTACTAAGATGGAGTGCCTTATTTCTAGTAAAAAGTCTCCAGTTCTCTACACTCACCATACGAAAAACAGCAGCATTAAGCTGCTTTTCTTTGACACTGGTATTCTGTGAGTGGTCCCACCACGGTCGAGCCGCCCACTCCTGCTATAACCATAATATAGCTGGAGCATGGCTCTACCACATATAAAACACCTTCATCTATCCTCAATTAACACTTTCACTGTGCGGTGTTCAGGCACAATAGTAAGACAATAGCAATTCCTACCTATATGTTGTGCACTAGACAGCGAAAGGGTTAAAAATAAAAAATGGACATGCCTTGTCACCTTTCAAGTCTAAGATGTTAGTACCAATAAAAAGGATCTTCACAACATCTGTTCTTTATACCCATCATATGAAAAATAGCAGCATTTTATGCTAGTACTACTATCTTTTTATACTAGTACCCTCTCAGTAGCCCTCTCAAAGGGTTATATTTACCCAGTTATTATTTTATTTCACACTTTAGCACACTCTACAGAGTAACTATTAGAAGTCAATAAGGGTTAATAACTTTCCGCTCACCAGATGACGCTAGTTGACAGTGAGGTGAAGTTTTTTATTACACAGTGTCAGTTAAATGAGAAGTTAATAAAAGTTTATCAGTTTCAAAAATATTATTTTAATACACAAAAGAATGCCTCAGTAGATTGCTCTTTAATTTTTTTCACATTTATAACTTTTCTACTTTAATGAATATCCGTGGTTTGATTTATTTATTTTTAATCTTATTAATGTAAAATATAGCTAATACCACAGAAAGAAACATTAACCTTTACATTTTTTGCACAAATTAACTTCCCCATTATGATATCTGTCAAATATTATACCTCAATTTTAAGTGGCACCACCCTGGTGCAGAAATGTGGATGCCCTCATTAGCTTCTATTATAATATCTTATAATGTTATATAGATATACATTATAACAGGCATTAAAAATCTTCATAAGAGGACTTTAGTAACCAGGCTTACTCAGACAGTATGTCACTCATAAAGGTATGAAATAAGCACAGAAGGAGAGTTGATAAAACAAGTGGAGTTTAACAGCGATGGTAGACATGAAAATAATATAGAACGAAGAAGGAATACAGGACTCGAGAGTGAATGGGGCTCTACACTCGATTGTATATATAATAAATGAATGTGCCTTTTAAAATAACTGAAGAAACATAATTGCCATTTTGACATTCTATCCCATCTTCCATATGTATTACTGTGTAGTGGCAGTGTAAGAATATCCACTACCCTTTATCATCCCCTGTGTGTTGTAAGAGGTGACAGAGGGAAACAAATCAGGAGATGGGCAGCAGCGTCTTCCTAATAATGACTACAAATATAAAAACTGCGGTTTGCAGCCCGCATGCCATGAGTGGCAACTATAGCTAATACTACCCCCATGAGGCAGTGGATTTTAGTAGGCTGTAACAGTTAACGGTAATGGTTCCATATGTGCTCGACAGCAAATGTGAAAACAAGTGGCATTGCCAATTTTTAGAGGTAGGATTTTAGTGTGTTTATTTTTTATAAGATTATGTTGCAGCTATATTATGGTGCAGCACAAAAAGATTGACTCAATTGGGATAGGACTACATGCTCACAGAATACCAGTGTGAAACAGCAGAATAATGCTGTTTCACATGATGAGTGTAGAACTTAATATGAAGTGCATTCTTATCTCTTATTATTCTTTTATGTTTGGAATGCTAATATAACTGGATACATATATATTGGCAGAACTAAGCACTTGTAATTTTTTACTTTATGATAAACAAATAACTACTGTGTTAGTTTTGTATACATCTGAAAAATATTTTTTATAATTACAGTTGATGGGATCGAAAACAGACAGACAGATCACTTATCCATGATTGTATACGAAAAGTTAAATAAATAAACATCTAACTGAAAAGTACTTACATCTAAAGAGAAACATTTCAATAACATTTCTACGTAAGTTTCTGCATTTCCATCGTGTTCATATTTTATTAGCATACTTTTTACAACTCCATCGTGCAAACATAGGTTGCAAACTCCTAGCAATGGCAGTGTTTCGACCGTTATATCCGTATTATCGACCTCCATATTACGAGATTATTATATTTACAATTTACGAATACATATCTATGTTTAAATAATTTATAGCCTAATATTGAAAATTCAGAAACACAAACAATGCAAGTACAAAACTGTAAAATATTGACATTAGAGCATTGACCATTGACAAAATGACAAATTGACTAGTGATGAGGTGTTTAGTGTTTAGTGTTGTTCAATAGTGTTTCCCAACGGATAGGTCTTAAGATGAATATGGACAAAACAAAGATCATGTTTAATGTCCATGTCACACCTATGCCGGTAGTTGTTGGGAACACTAAGCTCGAAGTTGTTGACGAGTGTGTTTACCTGGGACAAATAGTCCGACTAGGTAAGTCCAACTTCGACCGAGAGGTCAATCGACGGATTCAACTCGGTTAGGCAGCGTTCGGGAAATTACGCCACATCTTCTCGTCAGATATACCTCAAAACTTGAAAACGAGACTGTACATCCAGTGCGTGTTGCCAGTGATGACATACGGAACTGAGACGTGGTCCTTCACTGCTGGCCGGATGAGGAAGCTCAAGGTCGCTCAGCGAGCTATGGAGAGGGCTATGCTCGGAGTTTCTGTGCGTGATAAACTCAGAAATGAGGATATCCGCAGTAGAACCAGAGTGACCGACATAGCCCAACGGATTAGTAAGCTGAAGTGGCAATGGGCCGGCCATATAGCTCGAAGAACCGACAACCGATGGGGAAGAAAGGTTCTCGAGTGGCAGCCTCGTACCGGCAGGCGAAGTGTAGGGCGACCCCCTACGAGATAGAGTGACGACCTGGCAAGGCATGCAGGAAGTCGATGGATGCAGGTGGCTCAGGACCGTGCTTTGTGGCATTCCTTGGGGGAGGTCAATCGATGGATTCAACTCGGCTGTTGAATCCATCGATTGACCTCTCGGTCGAAGTTGGACTTACCTAGTCGGACTTTTTGTCCCAGGTAAACATACTCGTCAACAACTTCGAGCTTAGTGCTCCCAACAACTACCGGCATAGGTGTGACATGGACATTAAACATGATCTTTGTTTTGTCCATGTTCATCTTAAGACCTATCCGTTTGGGAGACACTATTGAGGTCATTGAGCATAGTGCTTAGCTCCTCCAGCGATTCTGCTATAAGGACTATATCGTCGGCAAATCGAAGGTGAGTGATGTACTCGCCATTGATGTTGATACCGTATCCTTTCCAGTCCAGAAGCTTGAAAACGTCTTCCAATGCAGCGGTGAAGAGTTTCGGGGATATGACGTCACCCTGTCTTACACCTCTCTGCCATTGGATAGGTTTCGTACTCTGGTTCTGTACTCGGATAGCCATCGTAGCCCTACTGTACAAGCACTTCAACACTTCGATATACCGACAGTCAACTTGGCACCGCTGAAGGGACTGCAGCACCGCCCAATTTTCGACGGAATCAAAGGCTTTCTCATAGTCCACATACGACAGATATAGTGGCAAATTGTACTCTTCGGACTTCTGTACAATTTGCCGAAGTGTATGTATGGGGTCTATGGTGCTAAATCCCTTTCGAAAACCGGCTTGTTCGGGAGGCTGGAAGTCGTCAAGTCTGCGCGCGAGACGATTCGTAATGACTCTCGAAAACAGCACGCAGACGCGGCTCTGTAGGCGGCGGTCTGTAGTTATTCAAGAGAGCGTTGTCACCTTTCTTGAAGAACAAGACCACCGCACTTCTGCTCCACGCCTCCGGTGTAATGCCACCATGGAGGACGGAATTGAAGAGCTTCTGAAGGACTTCAAGTAACGGTCTTCCACCTGCTTTCAGAAGCTCCGCTGTAATTCCATCCTCGCCTGGGGCCTTACCGTTTTTAAGGTGCTGGAGAGCCATTCTAATCTCGCTCAGACTGACGTCCGGGATATCTTCGGAATAGTGTCGGATGAGACTCGCTCTTGGACTGTTACTCACACTTGCGTGTGGCTCCAACGATGACGTGTACAGCTGCCCATAAAACCTCTCAATCTCACTCAAAATCTCAGGTGTCCCGGAAACGATACTGCCACATTCTGTCTTCAGCTTTGACAGTTGGCTCTTTCTGGCAGACAGATCTCTGGCAAAGACTTTGGAGCCTTGGTTCCGCTCGATCGCTTCTTCAATACGAGCTGTATTGAAGTTGCGTAAGTCCCGCCGCATGCATTTGGAGATCTGGCTGTTCAGATGCCTGTATGCTGTCAAGTCTGTTGAAGAATGTAGCTTCATCTCCCGTCTAACAGCCATGAGATTAAGAGTGTGATCGGAGAGTTTTTGTGTTCTTCTGCGGCGGGTCTTGCAGAACTTAGCTCCGACCGCATGGACAGTTTCCACGAGCTTGTCATTCATATTGTCCACTTCATTGCAGTCTTCTAGGAACTGAAAACGGTTTTGTAACTCGAGCTGAAAGATTTCGGGACTTTGGAACAGAGCACGAGGGGGACGGAGCGTTGACTTCATTAGACGAGACCTCTCCAACTTAACGTTAAGGTTCAGTGTGCCTCTAACAATTCGGTGATCGCTACCAGTTTTCACCCTCGCGATCACGGAGACATCACTGAACAGTTGTCTGGTCGTCATAATGAAGTCAATCTCATTTTTTGTCGAACCGTCGGGGCTCGACCAGGTCCACTTCCTGTGGGGCCGCTTATGGAAGAAAGAGTTCATCATTAAGAGTCCCTCTTTCTCCATGAAGTCGGCCAGCTGCTGACCCCTTAGGTTCCGTTGCCCTATTCCAAATTTCCCTACTTTCAGCTCACCGTTCTCTCTTGTGCCTAGTTTTTGCATTGAAGTCTCCCATTAACACCGTATATTGGGTTTTGGAGGAATGCATGGCTCTAGAGATATCCTCATACATTTCCTCCACCTCCTCATCGGGGTGTGACGAGGTTGGTGCGTAAACCTGTATGACCTTCAGCGAATACCGTTTGGTAATTCTGAGTATAAGGTACGCAACCCTCGTCGACACTCTCCCGATCTTTACAACGTTGTTAACGAGAGACTTGTGGACGATAAATCCGACCCCTCCTTGGGGCAGATGTTCGCCCTCCCGGTGATAGAACAAGTTGCCGGATTCGAGGATTACCGTGTCCTCCCCCTCTCTTCGGACTTCGGATAATCCTATAATATGCCAGCGCAACTTGTCTATCTCTTCTTCCAGCTCCACGATCTTCTCGTCAGTCCTCAGGGTGCGTGCGTTGTACGTTGCCAGGTCGAGTCGTCTAAGGTGGCAACCATCGGAGATTCTTAGCACCCCCTTCCCCGCCGTTAACCATGGTCGCCACCGTACCTAGGAATAGCGGGGCCGCCGGGGACTGGGGGCCGTCTCTTAGTAACTTTATTCATTTGGGGGGTATTTGCCATAGTTGCCACGCTTGGCGAGCGGGTTGGCAACCGCAGTTTTTTTTATTGTAATTTTGGCTATAATCAGGAAGATGCTGCTGCCCATCTCCTGCCTGTTTCCCTTTGTCATCTTTTACGACACCCACGGGAGGATATGGGGTAGTGGATATTCTTGACCGCCACTACACGGCAAATCATTTACTCTGTTTAGTACTGCTAACTCGAGTTTAAACTCGAGTTACGCAACTCGAGTTAACTCGAGTCGTGATTTTTCCGAGTTGGCACATCTCTAAAATTTATTATTTATTTATTTATTTATGCTTTATTTGCACACCAAGTACAAAAAGGCGGACTTAATGCAACAGGGCATTCTCTACCAGTCTATCTCCAGGCTAAGCAGAGAAAATATTGTGGGTGCAAAGTGCAAACAGCTAAGTAAATAACATCTATGTCTTTTTTTTTATAGGAGAGGGGGCAAACGAGCATGCGGCTCACCTGATGGTAAGTGACTACCGCCGCCCATGAACAACCGCAACACCAGGGGAATTGCAGATGCGTTGCCGGCCTTTTAAAAAGGAGTACGCTCTTTTCTTGAAGGTCCCTAAGTCGTATCGGTCTGGAAAAATCGCTGATGGTAATCGAATCCACAAGGAAGTCGTGCGAGGAAGAAAACATCTTCTAAATCGCCCAGTGGTGGACCGCCAATCATTCAGATGGTGTGGATGGTATCGGGAGTTCTGCCGCGATGTGCGTTCGTGAAATTTGGCGGCTGGGATTAATCCGAACAATTCCTCAGAGCAATCCCCGTGGTAAAGAAAGAAAGAAAAGCCGTGCGAAAGAAAATGCAAAGAGATGCAACATCTCTTCGCAGCGCCAATGAGTCGAGCTGATCGGAAAGGACTCGGTCGTCGACGATTCGAGCCGCTCTGCGCTGGATGCGGTCAAGTGGAAGGAGCTGGCACTGGGGAGCACCTGCCCAGAGATGGGAACAGTATTCCATGTGAGGCCGAACCTGCGCCTTGTAAAGTTGCAGGCGTTGTGCCGGCATAAAATACTGTCCCGCTCTGCTGAGCACGCCAAGCTTTTTAGAGGCCAATTTGGCCTTCTCTTCCAAGTGACCACGAAACTGCGCGTCACTCGATATGTCGACGCCGAGGATTCCGATACTGGCTGAGGCAACAAGGGGAGTACCTTGAAACTGAGGAGAAACGACAAAGGGGTTCTTTTTAGCGGTAAACGCGCAAACTTGCGTCTTCTGAGGATTAAACTGGAGTAGATTTAGTCGCCCCCAATCTGAGACTTTGTCCAGCAAAGACTCGACTTCAGACACAAGTTTGTTCCGGTACTCGGCGACGTTTTCCCGAAAAATATTGGCACGGCCGGTGTATAGAGCATCACCAGTGCTGTCATCCGCATAACCATGAATGCTACCGGTTTGCAACATATCATTGATATGCAGAAGAAACACGAAACGTTGGTGATAGCACACAGCCTTGTAGAACACCACCGTAAATAGGCTTGTAGTCGGAGCATGCACCGTCTACAACGACCTTGATGCTCCGATCTGCAAGAAAGCTAGTGATCCAATTGCATAATTTATTTTTTTTTTTAAATTCAGAAACACAAACAATGCAAGTACAAAACTGTAAAATATTGACATTAGAGC